GGTATGGAAGTTGGAGATCGCGTAATGTCTTCTCTCGGATTCTTTCGAAACGGCCGTTTTTTTTTTTTTCTATTTCAATTTATTAGGAAAACTTTAAATAAGTACAAAATAAAAGGGGAAAGAAAACAAGAGAGAGGAAGTGGGGCCGAGAATGAGGTCATATGAGACGTTGGATTAAGAATGGACGGTGATGGACGGTGATTACGTGCATGGACGTTAATTGCTAAGTAAGTAGTTGATTTTTATTTTGTTATTATTATTATTTCAATGACGTTAGGGTAAAGGGTTGAAAGGAGAATTAGGGTATATACTACATACTCTATAATATAATATAATATATATATAACGCATACAGAGAAAATAGACGATGGTCTATCACTACATCAAATTAGTCATGATCTTTCATTCAAGTCATATAAGTGTTTATTTTTTTATTGCATTTAAGTAAATTTTAAATTTTTATATTAAGTGTTTATTTGACTTAATTCTTTTTAATTTATTTAATTTTTAAAAATAAAAATTAGTATTTAAAAACAAAATTTTAAAAAAAGTTTTTTTTTTAAAAAAAACACATCCACTTTTCAAGAAATAATTTCCCCCTCCTCTCCCTTCTTTTGCAAATCCTTTTTCTAACACTTTTCTACCTATTTTTACAAAGATTATTAAAAAAAAGGGAAAAAACTAGTAACAAATAGTAAAATCTAATTTTTTTTTTGTTTTTACAAAGATTAGGAGAAAAAAATTAAAAATTTAAAGTTTTTTCAATTACCATTTAAAGATTTTTTCTCCTTTTTGCTAAGAATTTTAATATCAAATACATCGTTTCCTCTTTTTTCTACTTTCTTAGAGAATTGAAACATTATTACTTATTAAATCAATAAAAATTTAAAACTATTACTATTATATAAAGTTTGGAAGTTGTTCTTTTATTATATGAATTTATTTGATTTTAGATAAAATACCCACACTAACAAGTTTTAATAGAAATTATACAAATTTACACTTCACTCCAAATATCTAAACGATGTTAATATTAAATATGAAATGTCTAAAATATTCAATTTTTCATTATGTTCTTTCTCTCAAGCCAATCGACGATGTCTTTTATATCGAACTACCACCCTACGCTCCCTTAGATCCCTATGACATTTGTCATTCTATATCCACGTGACATTAATGTGGAGGATGCAAAATGCCAACAGCATGTCATATCATTATCAATTATGATATGACAGTATGTCACATTAGCACCATGTGACATAAAATAAAAAGTGGTATTTTGATTAACAGCCATTTAACTGTTAATTATAAAAGCTTATTTAACTCAAAATAAAAGTATAAAGATTTGATTAAATTTAATAAAATAAACTCTTATAATTAATAGTTAACTAATTATCATTAGTCAAAATAATATTTCTCATTCTATGTTTATGTGGCATTGACATGTTGTTAACATAAATGGTGAAAAATACTGCATGGTACTACATCAGTATATCATGTCATTATCCATTATGATATGTTAGATAAACCTTACTGGGCATCCTCATCCTTGAGACTATTTATTATTTCATCAACTTATGAAAGATCAAGAGGTTCGATTATATTGAATATTGCTAATGGTAATGATATATAGAGCTTAATATGGAGTTGGAAGGATTTTAAAAAGATCCGTACCTTTCTTTATATATATATATATATACACACACATAGCAATTTGCTAAAAAATAGAGAAAGAGAGTAAAAAGGACCTTATGCCCATTATTTAACTTGGAGGAAGAATCGATTATTCATGCTACAAGGGATTGTCTTTTGGCTTAAGCATTATGGATACGATTGTTGCCACAAAATCAGTAAGGTAGATTCCATTCGCTCTCTTTGTTTGATCAGCTTTTTGCCAATTTAAAGCATAATAAAAATTAGTGAATGGTTTTCCTTGGAGCAAAACATTTGGTGTTGCAAGTTGGCTTCTATGGAAATGGAGAAATCTATTCATATTTGAAAATAAGAATATTACTATGGCGAGCCGATTGTGTTTCATTCAGGTTTGAACTTAAGATGTGCATGCTACGAGGACCATCTGTTTGTTATCGTAAATATTGATGGGGCATTCATCAATGTCTTCAAATGGCAATAGCAGGAAAAGCTATAAGATATGCACAAGGTGAATGGAAAAGAGGCTTCTCACTTAAAGTTAGGAAAACGCACAGCTAAAAGGGCAAAGCTTTGGGATGTTCATGAAAGGTTCAAGTTAGCATGGGACTTGGGATATAGGAGAATTGATCTCCCAATTGATAACAAGATGGTGGTTCAGGCTATAAAGGCATTATCTCCCCTTCCTTGTTCAAACCCAGACTTGATTCAGTCAATTTAACAGCTCATTCACAGACTGTTAGAGGTAATCACATGTCATGTCTTTAGTGAAGGCAACAGAGTAGCAAACTACATGGCCAATAAAGGGTTTTTTTTTTTTTTGTAAGGTGCCAATAACAGTTTCTTGTTGGATAATAAATTAGAACCTTATGATAATCTTCTTCTGGAATTTCAAGATTTATTATTCTATGATGTTGATAGCTTTATCAAGTTTAAAATTATTATAGTTTTGAAATGATAAAAGTGATCAAAATTACTTCAATGATCTTTGAACTTCTTTGAGTAATCCTTGAACTTGTTTGAATGATTTTTGAAATTGTTTGAAAATGTTTTTGAACTTAATTTATTAATGTTAAAAACTCTCATACATCTGCTTTTGAAGTGTATAAGTATTTCCATATGAAAAATAATCAACACTGCTTAAATGATCTTTGAATTTATTTGAATAATTTTTAAAGTTATTTGAATGAGTTTTTGAATTTGTTTGAATAATTTTTAAATTTTTTTAAATAAGTTTTGAAGTGTCTAAGTGTTTTCATGTGAAAGGTTTCAAAATTACTTAAATAAGTTTTGAAAATTGCTTTAATGATTTTTGAACTTCTTTGAATGGCTTTTAAACTTGTTTAGATTAGTTTTAAACATCCATTGCATTTGATTTTGAAATGTTTAAATATTTGGCATTAAATTGGATTCAAAAAGAAAAATTTTCTATTGTTTAAGCTACAAGTATCGATACTTTAGTCAAAAGTGTCAATTCATTTAAAATAAAATGGTTTTGCCCAAAATGTACGAATACATTTCTAAATGTATGAATATATTTCTAAATGTATGGATACATTTTAAAATGTATCGATATATGTGGTTTAGAACTAGTTGTTACAAATGAAAATCTATCGAAAAACCACTATTTTCTTCACCAAACCTTCTTCAACGGTTCCAAAACTTCTCCAATTATAAAAAAGACTTCTCCAACACATTTGCAAGATTAGAAGAGGGAAGAAAAACATTATTTTATCAAAAATCAAATTATATCAAGAAAAAGAAGAAAAAAAAAGAGAAACCAAGCTAAAGCAAGTAATTCACATTCTTCCACCGAGCTATTAAGCTTTCTTGTGCTATAATTCTTTTATGTCTTCATTCTTTTTTTCTGTAATCATTTTTATACTCATCATACTCTTCCTACATTGTATTTACTTGGCAAAACCCACTTTCAAAAGGTATTTTTGCTATTCAAAATTGTAAGAGAGAAAAGAGTTGTGTCTTAGTCTTTAAAAGGCATTGTGAATGTTATGCTTGATCCATAAAAAATAGTATATTGAGAGATTGTGCTTGATTCTTGAAAGTCATTGTAAAGGTTATGCTTGAATTTTAAAAAGGACTTTTCAAAGTAAATTTGAAATTCTTTAGTGAGTTAAGGAAGAGAACGTAGGTAAAAAAGTTAAATTTCTATAAACATATTGTATATTCTTTCTTTATTTTTTACTTTTTGAATTTATGCATTTACATTAAAAAATTTATCAAATTTTTTCTTAACTTGTTTATTTTTTAACTTATTCTTCAACTTATTATTGACACACTTTGATAGAAAATCAATTTATGAAAATTATTTTTAGCTTGACTTGATTGGAAGTTTGTGAAAATTTTACACTAGTGCATTTTGCTTTAAAGACTTTGAAAATTTATTTTCAATTTGTTTGGTCATTACTTTGCTTAAATTACTTTTGATATGTTTTAAATTGAAAACAAATTTGAGAAACTTGTTTTCAAATTTGTCTTCATAAAAAGTTTAAATTTGTTGAAAAGAATTTTTAAAAATTCAATTCACCCCCTTTTAGATATTTTTTTCATTGTTAATGCTAGAGAAGTTACAGTAGAACTACACAGAGGTTTGGTAACATTGCCTTCTCATATGACAGCAGAACAAAGAGCATTGCCATGGCATTATATTTCAAGACATACAGAGATAAATCACAATTGAAGTTTCTGAGTCAAAATTCTCTTTATTATTGCTTCTTGACAGCAACTTTCTCTGTTGCAAGTATAACAGTTACATAGTTAAGGAAACAACATGCTGGTTTTCTTTTTCTTTAGCAATGATTTTTTGACCAATCTAATTTGTCAGGAAAATTTTACAAATTTAATTTCCTTTTAAAGGAGAAATATTTAGATAAAAAATGAAAAGTTGCCTGCTGTGCTATTACTCATGTGGTACACTCGTTTTCAATCATTTCGCGTACTTCATTAACAACCAAATATGCTTTGTGGCCACCAATCACCTCAGCCTGTTTCTTGCTATCCCTCCATAACTGTAATGCAAACACCATTATTAAGTTCAAAAAAGAAAGTACCTAGGACTGCAAACAAACCAAAACATCAAAATTCCGCTTAAGGTCAGCTGGCTGAGCAGCTGATTGGGATCATTCACAAATTAATTCAACCAACCTTGAGAAACCTGCTTCTTAAAATTTTCTTTGGAAATCAAGCAACTCAAGTTGGACCCAATATTGCAGTAAGTTGACAATGTCCAGCTTGATTAGCCATACACAACTCAACTTGGCTTAATTACAACCCTCAGAAATAATGTTTCTCAAAGAAATGAAACTAACCTGTATAGTTGGCATTTTCTGCAGAGTTGTAGTCAACGGCATTGAAACATGTAAAAAAGGTATAATTAAGTCAATTATAATTGCATCACTATATTACTAATTAAAATCACGCATGGAAATACTAAAGATCCTACAAACTCATAGCGGGAAAGTGTAAAAGCAAAATGAGGAAATGTCAAAGAGCATTCAAGGATATGAATAAGATCATTGTATTTGCAACATCATTTCTAAAATGTTAGTATTTTTCCCTGTCTCTTTGAGAGCTGGTATAAAAACAGTTGTAGGATGTACAGCTTTAGAATCTAAGCTTTCATGACATTGAAATTGATACTAATCCAGTGGAGACTATAAAGGAACTAACAGAGCTCACAGGCAGCAAGCCATTGCCAGGATCTAACCAAGCCATCTGTTATCGTGTAATGATAAAAATAAATAATTCGATAATAAGTCTCTAACAGACAAAGATGTCCCAATTATTCTTGAGAAGAACTAGAGAAAGTTGCAGAATCTTCAGTTTAAGGTGAAGGAATCTCAATTACTACTCATTTCTTAGCTAATTGATTCACAATACATTTCTGCATGCCTTAAAGTTAACAATTCATATCCCAACTAAAGTGTCCCGACTCTTCTAAGAAGCAGATAGAGAAACCAGTTTGGGAGGATCAGAAAGACGTAGAGAGGAATGATGGGAACTTATAGAAAGAGGGAAAAACCATACTGACTCCCGTAAAAACTTTGTCACAGCTTCAGACTACTCCTGTTTAGAAATTAGATCTTGTCCCAGCCTGACAGAAGAATTTGAAGACAGAGAATGCCATTATACATGGAAGTAGTTCAGTTCAGTCACAATGTTATTTCAATCACGTTCTATACAGAAGAACTAAAGCAGAATGATTTAGAACACTACAAAGTGGTAAATCTGGCAGCATATGAAAATTGAAACTACAACTTGCCAATGTCCACTCAGTATATATAGGGTTAGTTAGGTTGTTGTACCCAAAAGACTGAACCACAAGTTTGGCAAACATGTTTTCAAAATTACAGGCGATTGCTATTCTATATTCTTACATTATGCAAAAGATTGAATGATTAGCTGCCATTCAAGTACAAAACACATAGTCGTATTGACTATTTGACAGTTCAACATAAAATTATTAAGCTGACAAATTGCTGAAGCAATTGTACTTTGTAGAGTTATGGAACACTTACCGTAACTCCAGCACGAGCAACAACGTTGTATGGAATTGTGTTTACATCTACACAGTAAAACCTTAATCTACACAAAATATTCAAAAGAAAAATTACTAATCTTAATCACCAAGCCAGCTGGCTCAATATCATACACCAACAATTTCACAAAACAAATAAAACTAAATAGATATAAACTTTTTTGATACACATACAAACATGATGGCAACAATCTCACATAAATTTTAGCCATTGGATTATCTAAGAATGCAGGACCAACAAATAAATGGAAAGTCAAATGAGAAGCATTTCTGTATCCTGAGGATTAAAAACTGCAAATTGAACACTCAAATCGAAGGCATCAGCATGCAACAAATTTGTATAAAGATGCAAAAGTCTAAAACAGCCAAGTTAGATGCTTGGAGATTCCCACTCTGCTCCTCATACTTTAATGGGAAAAAAGGTTTCCAGATTCATCAGCCAGCCGCAGAGATAACATAATGAAAGTACTAATTGCAAGCTTTTGAGTCTCTCTAACGAGAAGGAGCATTGGTTCATAGTTAAATATCATTTGCATAAGATGAAGGAAAACAATGGAATGATGTGCTTAAATAAATCAAAAGCACCAAGTTCAAAACCTTTATTTTACAAAGGAAGAATTGATATGAGACTTGAAAAGATGTTGCTCAGCTGCATCCACTATCAAGTCAAGATTTTAGCATAAGTGGCAAGGAGGATTAGTGACAAGAGCCGAGATTATGGATGCCATGAAATGTCCATTTTGTCCAAACTAGCTGCTAACTAATGTTGAATTTTTTTGTTTGCTATTATCAAGGAAGGATCCAAAAGCGTCTTTTTTCACTAAATGAGCAAAGAGAGGACTTGGTGTGAATGAATTGGCATAAAAGATTCATGTGGTTCCCCTAATTACTTTCACATTAAGGTCAAACCTGGGAGATTTCATTCTCTGATGAATGTTGCTTATGCATTTCACAATGAGATGCGTGAAGTTGATCTCTAGGCAGATACGGACTTATGCAAAAAACTCTAACATGTATACTCTGTTTTGATAGGTGAATAACTTGATGACAACAAAAAGGTTGATAAACCAAAAATATATGGAGTAAAGAAGCTGAAAATATACCGGAATGATCTGAGAAATAACAAGGAAATTACACTAAGTTCATTGCGACACACAGGTTTCATTGGATCAGAGATGTAAAAAGAAAACTGGCTAACCTTGGATAGTATTCAGCTGCCAACTTTTCCAGTTTTGGTTTCAAATATATACATTTTCTGCACCAGCTTGCCATCCTAAAAGTTCGAAAAACTTTCTTTTACAATCAAACTCACTATAAGCATTATTTAAGGAAGTAAAAGAAAAAACATTATGATCTTCATTTAATCCCATATCCACTAGAAAACAAAAATATTACAATAAAACAAGTTGATCTCCATTCCGTAAACACAATAAGCTTTTTGTACATAAATTCAACACCCCCCCTCCCCCCACTCACACACACACATATAAGAAAAGACCTATTGGTAGGTTTTAAGATAACAATTTTGCTTTGAACACTAATACCTACATCTAAGCTTCACCATAATCATAAACAAGAACTAAAGATTGAATATATCAACAAATTCCCCATGCAATTTGAATTAATTACAACCAACTAAAAAAGCCTGCTTGTTTCCGGTCTCATATAAATTAGGTCATATAAATGGGTCTCCAAATGCAGAATATCTCCAACTTATAATCTAGTTCCCTTTCCGTCACTTTCTCAGGAACCAAACCACAAAAAAGTAATTAATCTCATAAAATGGAAAAAGATGTCTCAAAAGTGACACCTCACGTTTAGAACTAGAGACTCCAACACGAAGTCTCAAGTTTCAATCTTGGGAATGGCAGGCGACGTTTATGAGACAAGGAATGGCTACCTCAGTTGTGTAACCCAATGCTCAATGCGTCTCCATAAATACAAAATATCAAATGGGAATGAGAAATGGTTTCAAGTAATGAGATTCTCTAAGTGTTGACCTTTTCCTACCAAGTTAACTCAATTTCTCAGAGACCAAAAATCAATAAGAGTCCCAAATTCAACAAACAACAAAAAGTAAACAAAAACATATCAAATCAAAACAAACAAAGAAATCATAATATAACCTACCCAGAAACACACATACCAAAGTATAATCAAAGACTCCTCAAGTTGTTGAGCCTCAGCAATGACTCTATCAAACTGACTCTCACTGCAAATTTGCTGCAACTCAACATCCAATGGCGCATCATCCAACTCTTCCAAATACCCTTCTTTTTTCCAAGCATTAAAGATTCCAAATTTTCCTCCGAGCCCATTAATTCTCTCATTAAAACTCAACGTTTTTCTCTTCAAAGAAAACCCATCAAAGCTTGAACATGGATTTTTCAAAAAGGGTGTTGCGAAACAAGGCAAAGGGTCTCCTGGAAACTTGGAATTTAGCAGAGTTTTCAGGGATGGAGAGAAGCTTAACGTGAAGGATTCAGAAGTCATTGCAAGGAATGTTTTTTTTTTTTTTTTGCTTTTTTTTTTTTGTTTATAAACTGAAAGAAAGAGAGTATAATATATTTGGTAAAGATGTAAAAGGTACAACGGTAAACCTTAAAACACTGAATCAGGAGAAAAGGAACAGGGAATGGGCCGCTTGATGGGATTGGGAGCCACCAACTGTTCAGGATTTTCAAGGAAGATATTTTAGACAGGTCGTCAGAGTTCGTGGGTGTCCTATGTTAGATTGAGCAGACATCAATGACCACTGAATTGAACTGTTTCGGCTGTCGGATTGGGCTTTTCCTTTGTCTGTTTCTGACACGCCTGAGAAAAGAGGGCCCTTTTTACATGACGAAGGGCCAAAAGTAAAACAAACTCTGATCTTCTTTTGTGGGCCAAAATCATCCTTTGAAATTTAAACATGGAAAAGTAAGAGTTGTGTCATATGCCAAACCATAAACTGGAACTCACTCAGTTGGGCTACCAACAAAACAGATCTAATCTATTTTACAGTTCATGTTCTCTCCATCAATGCATAGAGTTTCATACTGGTGTGTCAGATACAGATTTCTTAAAAACAAGCTTTCTTATTATTGATGATTTTCAACGTCAAGTTTTGATTCAAAGGTTTCACTAACTAAATTAGTTGATACTTTCAGTCGTTACCATTTCAGTTTAAATATGAGCTTGTTTGTCAAGTTGGTCAGACCAACAGCTTCAATATTGCTCAATTGCTAGCTTCAATTTAATCATTCCGAAAATAAGAAAAAAAAAAAAAACCAAAGAATACATCTGGATGAAATGAATGATAATATATCAGATTATTCTTAAAAGCTTGAACTATGTCAAGTACCTTAGGAGGAGACGATTTAGTCAAAAGTTTACAAGAAATTCACAATTAAAACAGGAAAGGGAAATGGAATTTTAGGAAGTAAATTACTACATGAAAGAAGTAGCAAGAATCTTGAAGTTAAAATCCACATCCGACTTCAATCACGTAAGCAGTTGGTTTTCAATCCTGCTTAAACGAGTTTATGTGTAGAGCACTCCTTATGTGTGAAAACGCCTGCCTGGCATGGAATTGGAATTGTGGTTGTTATTGGCTTCTAATGGTTCGAAAGAGAAAGGAATTGGTCTCCCCATCATTCACCAAAACAAAGTCTATGAACAATGTAATATCATTCTCTATGTTGCTTTGACAATCCCAAATTTAAGATGAAGCATGTGGAAAATGCTGCAAAGGCATTCAGCCTCTTCCTGAAGCCGGTACTAGACCACTCGAAATTTTCATGGCGCATAATCTTGAAAAAAGCAAGCTTCTATGTTAGCTCCAAAACGGATTAAATCTAGATGCAGAAGGAACATAACCAACTGGCAATAATCAACTCAAATTTTTAACAATTTCTTTAACTAAAGGGAAGCAAGTGATGAGGCACCTCAAATACCAAATGGCAGGCTCGAATGCAATGCACAACAATTGATTTGCAGGTCTGCATACTTTCTATCCCAGAAAGCAGAAGTCAACTCCGTAATATGGGAACGTAACGTTTAGCACTAACCAGAGAAGTATCACTGTTAGCTTTAGTTGCATCAGACATCAGTGAAGCAATCACAAAAGTATTTGTTCAAGTTACAAAATTTGTTCTAATTGTAACCGTGTACTAATGACTTAAACTACTCTGTATAGCATGTTCAATTTCAAAATAGTATGAAATTTCTTGAAAAAGGACCTTCAAAAGTTTGATAATAATAATTAGCTACTGGCATAAGTTACGTGCATTTGATTGGTTGTAGGTCCTATAGTGGCAGAGCCAGAGAAGAATATACCGGATAAGATATCTGTGAAGAAGTGGTGAAATACTTTTAATTGTCTATTAAGAATTTAAAGAGAACCAATAAATAGCAAGTAATAAGACATGAAGAGTTGCGAGCCTTTATGTTATAGCAAAAAACACATCTTTATAGAGTAAACCCCCATAAAGCGTAAAGCTAACCTGCCTTCATGAAGTTTTGCTAGTTGCTGAGATCTTCAAAGTCCAAACTCTGATAGTACATCTCAATAACTTTGAAGACTCTGAAAGGATAATAGAAACAATATTAAAAAGAAGTAAGCAATTTTGAGTCATCATTGAGAGGGAAAATAATGAAAATAACAAAGTGATATAACCTCAATAAAAACTAATAAACAAAGGGAACAATAACCTGTCTATGACTATTTCATTTCATCACATGGCTGTCAATTTTCCGACAGAACATGTGACAGTTAGGTGAAATTCTGTCCAATCTCCCTCTAGAATCCACAAGAAGAACAATTCCTTAAGCTGCTGGAAATGAAGCAATTTCAACATCCCTTTTACTGGAATGAAGAGATAACCAAAATGCAACAACATTAAGAGAAGTGAACAATTTAAATCTTTCACTAATCTTACAGTTGAGAACACTTTAAACTTTTGTTTTCCAGAAAAAAAAGAAGTGTCACAGTACTGAACTGATGAAACAGAATATATACACCAGCTGCTGGCATCTTCTCCATTTGGACAACAACTAATGCTTGTTATGCAAGTACTTGATGCCATCATTGCCTTTCTCATTTCAGGGAAGGATGCTGATTGCAGCTTAAATGTCCAAACGAACATACTATAAAGTCAATGCAAGGATACCATGAGTTCAGAAGCAAAACTAACTAAAAGTCCAAAGTAGCATGAAGCAGAGGACATAATCCACATGTTAACATAGGGCTGTCTGTGAGTAAAGTTGTGGTGTTAGTGACATATAATAATTGATTATTGACAGACAAATTTCTTGATTCATTATGAACGCTGGATTTGTGAAGGGAAAAAAAAAGCCTACCTGGTTTTCGTCATATCTGTAAATACAGCTCTTCTTGCTTCAACTTTTTAGTTTAGAAGAATACAAGAAATGCATCAAACAGAACAGGCTAGCCAGTCTTTAGAAAGATTGCAAGAAATTTGAGGTTGATGCCGTGCTTGTCGATCACAGTTGCTAACACAAGATTGTTGCAAGAAAACCTCAAATTAGTCAAGAACATAGGGATAAAAATGCTGGTAAAAATTCATTAGATGAGTGTCAGCAATGATTAGTATATGCAGGACTAAACCAAATACAAATTATGTGAAAGAAAGTTCTAAAAGGTGCAAATAAACCAAAGGCACATTAAGTTGGGAAAAAATTGAAAATGATGTAGAAATGAAACAAAAAAAGATAAGCTCACAGTTAATACAAACAATAAAGAGCGCAAAAGAATACCTGAGTGAATTAGGCACCTCTTCATAGGAATGACACTATACAAGTTCCTTGAGCTGGGAGTATAGCAATCTTTAATTTTCACATTGTGCAGACCACAAAGCAGTCCCTGAAAAGGCGATGAATCAAATTCAACCAGCAACAATACATGGATTGCTGCAATTTGAAGTTAACCCACACACATTCTCAACTTTCATTTAATGGGAAAAATGTTGATTAGCTTAGGACAATTATAAGTAAAGTTCTTCAAGATGAGCCCCAACATTCTTCATACCCATTCCTGCCATTTTAAGGTTTGTTAAAACCTTGATGCTTCATTTGGAAACAAGAATTTGATAGGGTGTATTCGAATTGATTTGTTCTTCATTTTTGTAACTATTACTGTAGTCGTTACGTTTAAGAGAGTAAAAAAGCATGTATTTGGAATTCACTTTTCTACCTTGGTATTTGAAATTCATTACATAAGAGATATTTTATAAATCCATATATTTGACTGTAATTAGAAAACTCATATATTTATGAGTATTATCACATAACTTTTACTACATTTGAAATCCAAATCCATCTTCCCAAATATATATATTTCCAAATGCAATCTAAAATTTCATGGAACCTAGATGGCTTTGTTGCTCAAGGAATGGAACCATGGAAGTTAGAATACTACTTTGAAAAGGAACACTCCCCAAGTTGTTTGAGCAGTCCTTGAACTGAACAAATCATGATAATGAAACTAACCATCTGGTATGAACTAAAGAATATGGTAGTCACTGATTTCATAGTGCACAAGAGAGGAAGGAGTCAAAATCTATGAACACCATCATTCCAGCTCTCGGAAGTCCAAATTTGAAGTGAAGTATGCCGAGCTTGAAGCGAAGATGTTGACGAAAACTTTCATGCAGATAATTCTCCTTAGAAAAATGAGGCCCTGCAGCTCCAGGCTGAAGCAAATCATGCAGGAGGAACATCATTTGAATGGGAATCATAGATTAGAATTTGGAACTAAGAGTCAAAAGAAGGGAGCTAGCAGGCTGTAAAACAATTTGCAGCAAATTAACCATGTGATCCCTAGTGTTATGAAAGAAATAAAGAATGTGGCAGTAGAATGCAAGAAAAGATAAGCCTTTCCTTTTTCATTTTCGTTTTCTTTTTAGCTTTTCATGAAGAACTTAATCCAACAATTAATAAAATTGTTACAAGAACAAGAGCATAATGCACTGTCAACAAAATGGTGGGAAAAAAAAAAACATAATTCATAGGTATTACTCTCACAAACAAAAAAAATAAAGGGAAAAAAATATGAGAACGCAGTGCACAAACCTCAATCAATTAAAAATTTTTGAAAGAAAAATCAATAAATAATTATGTAAAATAAATGGAGAATCGACAAGGGTTAGTGAAATTAAATGAAAATGAATGGAGTACCTCACCTGAGTCGGATTGCGTTCATCAAGCCCAATCATCAAAAGTGGAATTCTCTCGTTGAGACATATATAGTCCTGCTAAATAATGAGTTGTCCGTCGTTCTCAATGACAGGCATGTGGGAAATCTTTGGCCAATCTTTACCTTCCTTCTTTTCGCAATTTCTTCCAGCAACGGACATTTTGCAAGGAATAGAGAAAGGGAGATAGGAAGCCCCTTTGCTGGCATGGATTGGAGCGTCGGACACTCCGAGATAACCAATGTCCGAAGAGAAGTGAGGTGTTGAAAGCCCTTGGAGTCCAAAAACTTAAGATTTGGAAGATTGCCTATGTAAAGACGAGTAAGAGTAGAGGGCAGTATATGTTCATCTGGAAAAGACTCTATCTCTTCCGTATCCAAGATTTGGAAGGTTGTGAGTGAAGGGAGTGTTTCCAAACCCCAATCCTTCCTGCCCGCAATTAGCTTTTCACTTCTTCTAATTGCAAGAACTTTTAATTTGGAGGGTAAACCCTCCTTTGGAAATGACTTAATTTCTGGACAATACTGTATTGAGAAATGCCCAAGGGATGGAAAGAAGGATTGCATTTGCTCAGGCAAGGACTTTAAGTTTTTGCATTCGATAAGATGAAGTGATGTCAAATTGGTGGCAGAAAATTCCTCTTCGGGAAAACATATAAAATTAGGGCAGGCCCAGATATCCAATCTATTGAGACATGCGAGACGCTGGTGAGGGCCCCCTAATGCACGAATCGACTTCAAGCCTTCGCATGAGTCGATACAAAGAACATTTAGTTTAGGGAATGATCCTATTGGGAAAGATTCTAGTGGATGATGGGCGTTGCCTCTTATGACTAAGTGTTCAAGGGATGTATACAAGAGGATTTTGGAATAATCCAACGCATTACAGTCATTGATCGACAATTCCTTTAGCGAAGTAGGTAGACTAGCTTCGGGAAGAGATTTGAGGCCATGACAAAAGCCCATGCTCAACTTTTCTAGATGAGGGCAGTGCCGCTCCAACTGCTCCATTATGAAATCATTGATATTCAATTTGGAAATGTGCAATTGTCGAAGCCCACAAGGAAATGGCTGCAATTGCAATGCATCACATTCCTCTAAGTCAAGTTGCGACATTCTTGGTGCCCTTGGAAACAAGCCTCCAAGCTTCCCACATCTCTCAATCTTAAGTTTCATTAAAGAAGGGAGGTGTTTGGGCAGAGACTTGGTTAACTTGGGACAATCTACCATGTATAACTCTTGGAGAAGACAGAAAGCTCCGTCTTTCAAACAAAACCATTCTTCCCACTCTGGCATATTCTTGAATCTGAGAATTTCAAGAGATCCAAATGGTTTACTCGAAGCATCACCGTGCCCACAGAACTCATCACCCACTGTTACTACTGCAACAAACCCTTCAATGGAGAGAGATTTCAAAGATGATAATTGCCCAACCGGTGGCAAGAATGAGCAAACTTTACAATCTATCAATTGCAAAGATACTAGATTCGAGAAGGAAGAAAGCCCCACCCATTCCGGAAAATTTGTATCTCTATAAAACTCAATAGCAAGATGCTCCAAGTTTGTGTGAGGCTCCAGTCGTTCAAGTATTTCTCTATCATGCTTTGAATCATCCTTAGTATGACAATCCTCACTCCATTTCAACTTCAACTCCCTGAGGTTGATCTTCTCCTGCAAATTGGCATCTTTGGCATCCCTGTGGCCAACAACGTTTTGTAAATTTGAAATGGCAAGTCTTCCATGTAGATTCTTGAGCTTTCCCAACTCACTTATGTTTGAACCTTTTTGCTCACCCAAAACAAAATCTGTTAATGTTCGAAGATCTTTCAATTTATCCATTCCTTGTGGCATCCTTACTAACTTGGTACCCCTGATATCAAGATGATGCATGTTGATCAATCTTCCCATGTCTTTAGGCAACTCAACAAGCTTTGCGCACTCAAATAAGAGTAATGTCTGCAAATTATATAATGTAGTCAAAGAGTTCGGTAACCTTTCAATTGAAGTTTCAGATAGATCCAAATAACGCAACTGCTTTAATTTTTCAATTTCTTCTGGTAATTCATTGATATTATGATAATGAACCAAAGAAAGCACTCGCAAAGATCTAGATTTTACGATCAAATCTTTCATTATCACATCAGTAACATAACAAGGCCAGGACCATGACTTTAAAGTTAAGAATGTATGCAAACCTTCAGGTAAAGCCTCAAATTTTTTAAGCACATCATATTTTTCTTGGACATTGGACAAATAACGAGTCTTTTTAGTTATTTTACATGAAAGTCTATCACCACCGTCCAATCTACAAATGAATTCTCCAGATACAAATTTTGCTAAGTCACTAATTAGGTCATGCATGACAAAGCAAGACTTATTCCCTCTTAATTGCTCAAAAAATGACCTGGATGTTAAATCTTTGAAACACTCATTACCCCGATCCTCCATATTTACAACTTCTCCGGAATATGCTAAAAGACCTTCAGCCATCCATAACGGAATGAGTTCTTCCTTTCTGAATACATAATCTTTAGGAAAAATTGAACAATATGCAAAGCAACGCTTTAAATGGGATGGAAGATAATAATAACTTAATCTGAGTGCTGGAAGAATATCATCTGTTATGTCCCACAAACTGCTGTTTAATACTTTATTCCAATCCTCAACATCTGTTCTACAACGAAGCAGACCTCCAAGTGTTTTTGCTGCTAAAGGGAGGCCTTTGCATCTTTTGGCAATTGCTTCACCGATTTCCTTCAAATTTGGAGGCACGCTTGGGCTTGTATTAGCAAATGCATGTTTTGCAAATAACAGCCAACAATCCTCATCAGATAAGATATTAAGATGATAAGTTGGAACAGTCCTCATAATGGATGCGACATTTTCACCACGCGTTGTTACAACAATCTTGCTGTTTTTGGCCCCAGAATTGAAAGGACTTCTCAACTCTTCCCAATCAACATATTTCTCGTTCCAAACATCGTCCAAAACAAATAGAAACTTCTTTCCCAACAGCTTCTCCTTTAGTTTAAGTTGAACCTGATTTAGGTTCTGACTGCCATCATTGCTAGAAGTGATTTCTTCAAGAATGGTTTTGGTCACCCTTAAAGCATCATATTCCTCTGAAACACACACCCATGCTTTGACGTCAAACCATTCCTCCATTCTCTTGTCATTGTAGATCAATTGTGCAAGCGTGGTTTTACCAACCCCGCCCATACCCACTATTGGAATCACATCAATCGGATTTGCACTTGCATATTCTGGGTTCAGCAACTCCATGATCGCTTCTTTTTCATCATGTCTGCCATAAACACCGGATTCATCCACCAGAGAAGTTGCAGGTGGTCTTTGAAATGACTTTTCTCCTCTACTTTCTTTCAAACCCAGGATGTCTTTTTGGTTGACTAAACGTTCTAGTGTCTCAAGGATTTCTTCCAGTTTTGATCCCATCGCCCTATTGAAAGGATTGAAAGAAGGGAAAAAGCTACATACCTGCTTTGCAGTACTAGTTTGATCCTCGGATTCCAACCTGCTTCGAAGAGCCTCGGTAGCGATCTTATCAAGGACGTCTTCCGCATCATAAACAGCATCTTTGAGCTCATCAATCCAGCTTCTCACATTTAGGTTCGTGATCTGCTTATTTTCAGCATCATCCAGCACTGCTTTAACTGACATCAGGGCCGGTTTCAGTTTTTTCGGCAGCACGTCTTCAAGTTTCTTTCCCTTAATAAGATTCAAAACATCCCCAGAAGCAATCCTATCCACCAGCACCTCGATGGAAGCAGCGAGAAAAGCTTCACCCACCAAAGCCATTTTTTTTTTTCGGTGGTCAAAGAAAGGTTTGAAGAAGATCGAAGGATTTGATTTGCAAACGATGAAATGAAGAGTGGGTTTGCTGAAGCGAAGGCAATTAAGACTTGGCAAGCGTAGATTCGGTGAAGTCAATGAAGACTTGACGTGTGAATAAGGTGAAGCCAATGAAGGTGCACTGAAAATTGTTGATTTGGATTTTCTTTAATTTATTTTTTTTCAAATAAAAACTAAGTAAAATAATTAGATATGATTAAGAGATTTTTAAATTATTTGTGTTTTTTTGGAAGCAAAGAGATATTTAAAAATATAAATATATGTTTCATACAAACACATCTATTTGTATAAATATTACTTAATTTTCTTTTAAGGGTCATTATATTATATTATTTATATATTATTAATTTAATCAAAATTTCAAGACCAATTAGAGCTTGAAAAGCTTAGTGACAGTTCAATTTTGTGCTTTAAGTCAATTACTAAGAACTTATTCTCCTTTAAATTTAAAAAACTTTCTTCTTCTCTTTCAATGTAAAATTGTGCATTACATGTAACCCAACTAATAGGTAAAAAACCAATGACAAAAGCAAGAGAAAAGCCATCTCATGAATTCTATTTGATCTCTTTTGTGTAAATCACATAAGAAAAACAACAACACATCAAAACTTTGAGAGTAGGGATACAAAATTCCACAACTGACTCAACATTTAGGAAATGGAGAAGCAGCACAGCAATAAACTTTGTCTACATAATCAAGGCAACTCTAGAAGTTAAATAACAGAAAAACTCTCAGCTTCTCAAATTCTCAACAATCTTGGAGAGTGCTGAGTATGTTCCAAAGGCTGATGAAACTACTCCCACTGCTATAACTATTACACAAAGTGTAGCCTGTAAAACAAGAGAAGGAAAGATTATGAGAAAAGCCAGAAAGATAAACTAGGCATTCTATAAGATAGAATTTTATATGGATTCAAGCAGGCTCTAAAACAACTCTTTATGGACTCAGTTTTCTTGTTTCCTTCTATTTTCTTTTGCACTGTTCAGTGGAGGACGCAATAGGAGTTGTTAATTTTTTGAATTGTTACCGTATGTGTGTTTGTGTGCGCACGCATGTTTATATATATACACATTACATGTATTATGATCATACCTGAATACGGGTTACTTTACTCCTCAGGATGCTTAAATAACATGCAGGAGGAAGTATCAAGGTCTGCCATAGAAGTAAATATTCAAAGCATATTAGTCTTTGTTCTATATGTTTATTTCAAACAACTACCTTTGTAAAGTGATAGAGAAGAAGTTCCATGATTCAAATGGCAGAAGGTAACTTACCACAAGCATTGTGAGTAAAGACCCTATCAATGACATCACCAAACCTGCAACAAAGGGAGAAAATTTTCCCATGATGACCTAGAAATTCAATGGAATACCTAACACTATCTGGATGATCCAACCTTACAACCAAAATGTTCTCTCAGTTCAAAACAGCAGATATGCAACAGAAGAGGTTTCTCTTTGAAGATGAATGGTAAATGCATAAACAAATAATAACAGACGCTTACCAAAGAAAGGGACGCTGAGACCAACAATCAAGGTTGAGATCACCAGTGATGTTCTGATTAAGATAGCATAGATGTGAGACTTAAGATGGGTTGACGGTATCAGCTCCTCAAGACTCATTGCCACCGGAGACATGGTTAATGCATATGTTTGGTCTAATTAAGGCAGAACATTTATTTTTCTTAGATATGAGAGCACAAGTGATAACTAAAAGGCAATTGCTAGACTTTGTTTAACTCAGGAGTGAATTAGGACTTTCTGATGATAACAGTTCTCTTACTTGAGAGGCCAATGAAAGAGGGAAAATGCCAGGAAAAAAAAAAACAGGAGTAAGGAATTTACGCATACTCATGATCCCTCATTTTCCATAACAACTGTAAAGTTCTTGTTCCCAATTTTCTCTTTCTCATGCTTTCCCATTAGAGAAGGAGACCATGAAGTTTATGCCTCCAAGTAGAACTATATTTCACTACCTAAGATGCTGATTTCAGAGTAATAATGCAAAAAGCTATAATGAAAAGGATATTTGGTAAATGGGTTGACTACCTGCAAAAGAACAGAAAATAAATGAATTGTAGTTAACAGAAACAAAATGTTCATAAAATGCTATTTGAAAGTCTAAGCCTGGACTAGGCAAGGGTAAAGTGATAACTGTAAGATCTAATTAGTTGAAAAGGCTAGCCAGACAACTATAATATCATGAGAGTTAGCTTTTTCTCAACTTTGCATATAAGCAAGGTGTTTTGACATCAGTAAGTATCTCCTTTAAACCAGATATCAGCTCATTGTATTGCTGTTTCTCCAAAATTGGTGCATCAACGACATTTTCAAATAAGTGCAGTTCTACCAATCATTATAAGCACACAACAGATTGTCAAGAAAATCTGATAAGATGAGCATACCGTTGTCCACACAGCAATCTTTGAAGCAATCAGATCTTTAGGCATGTTAAGAGTAAACTGTGATTCTGTTGCTTCTCCAAACATTGTGTACCCCATAATTGCAGTTCCAGCATACAACAAAGAACAGATTGCAAAACTGCAAGGAAATTAAAACCAAAGATGATAAGAGGAGCAGCATTTATAACCACAAAGTATCCTTTTGAAGGAATGATAAGGTGCATGGTTAGTAATCAACAATTTTGTGAACCTTTTGCTTATGTTAATCATAACGTACACAATGCAGCACCTTGCTTTATCAAAAGGAATAATAAACCAATTGGTTGAGCATAACTTTGAACCAGCTATATTGATGCAGAGAGGTCAAAAGATCCCAGCAAGAGTAACAACACAAATCTCATTTAGCAAGAAAAAATACGTGACATTTCATAGTCTCTAAGATAACAAATCGAACTAAGCAGCTATACTTTACCAAGCTATGAGGACTGAAGGGAATTGACTTGGTTTTGCCATTGAGGTATAGATATTGGGGAAAACAGCATGTCCTGAATAGCAGTAACCATAGAGCCCAACAGCAACAGGAAGACTAGCCAGGTTCAATGTCGTTCCTTTGTTATGAAAGCCAACTTGATCTACCAAGCCAACCCAAAACAAGCAAAGTACTACCAAGATTGATGCAACGACTCCACCAGCTGGAAACAAAGAAAGAACACACTAAGACAAACATCAAACTATGTGACATAGTATAGTGTGAGAGATAGGCTTGGAGTTGAAGAGAGTGCAACTAAGATCAACTGTAGTGTGGATTTTCAATTAAGATACATTACAGATCAATATGTTTCTTACCAGAGATATAACTAAGAACGCTGAGGTCTCTGAGCCAAACAGTGGGAAGAACAGCAAGGGTTGTCATCAATGCAAACAGACGTTGGGAATTCAACTCAAATCCACCCAAACTGATATGTGCATTTGGGAATAAGGATGACAAGTTATCACCCTCTAAAATTATATATTCAACGCAACAAGCCTGTACAGAAGATTGTAAGAGTAACCTCCACCGGTAACAAATAGAACATGTTACCAAATATCTATGGGAATCATTACATTCTCCATGATGTTATGTAATCCAGTAAACAAGCTAAATATCATCAGAATTAGATAATAAAGGCACGTGATTCTAAAATGAAACCTCATGTAAGAGTAAAATCATAAGTTCATCAGGTTATGTAGAAACATTTGTTCAAAATATTTACCCCTCCAGGTTTTCATTTAAATATGTAAAAGTCTTATTTATGAGAAAATAATAATAAGAATAATAATAATAAAGGAGATGCAAACAAAAACTGGTATTCAATGAGGAGATATTTCTGAATACTGATTCAATGCCCAAGAATCCACTCTAGTTGAGGTTCTTTACAGGAAGTCAAAACCCAGATAAATAGCTCTATGCCTAAAGGAATGGTACTTGCAATCGAACCTAGAGGCTCTTGCCATGGGCTGAACAATTTTGATCATATTATTCTTAAATTATTCCTGTCAGAAGCTTCTAAATTTGCAGGGTAAAAATGAATTTGGATCTCTTTGCTGATATATGAAAAGTGATGCCCTATAGCATATCTTAAAAATGTTGTAGCCACTAGATTTCCTTCATTGATGAACAAGGTAGAGACATAAGTTAAAATAGAATGGAAGACAAAACCAAAAATGGAGGACCCCAGGAACCTGTAAGCGGTGACCCCCTCTTGGAATCTTAGCTTACTGATTCTCAAGCATAGTTAGACGGCTATTGGATTTATCATACAATTCTAAGACAAGCCAGCTGTACTTACATATAACTCCGCGTATAATATTATCTGCAACCACAGAAAAACAAGAGCAAAATTGCCAATCAGTGATCTTTCATTCTTTGCAAACTAGTGCTTATTTTAATCTGTTAATTTCCCAGTTTCTAACTTATAAAATAAATTAAAAAGAAAAAAGACCCAAAATATATAAAAATTCATTGACATAGAAAATGACTGCTTGTAAGGATTTTGGAGTGAATTTGGTCTAGAAAAAAAAATGAAAATAATTAAAGTTTGGCTTTGTTGCTTTTGGTTCCAAAAACAAAATTATTATAAGGATACACAATGAGATACAAAAGTAAATAATACACATAATATTTAAAAATATTTTTAAAATTATGTAAGAAAATTAAAATGTATATGAGTTTATTTAAGCTTAATAAAAGAATAAAGATATATTCGAATTTTCATGAATAATTTAGAAACTTTTTAAAATATTATGCTTAAATAATATTTATAAAATATTAAAATTTTCTAATATTTTTTAAAACAAAATGCATGAGTTTACCTTTGTAGGATTTATATTAAATTTTAATTAATTATGATATTACTAATTTCTATTCTTTGTTTTTATTTCTATAACAAATTTTCAAACAGTAAAAATTAGATAATAAAACACAAGTAATAAAAATATTAATTATACGGAATCTTAGAATTACCGAGAGGGCAATTCTGCCGGCGGTTCCAAATGCGGCTTGACCAATATCTGGGTAAGTTTCAAGCCCAGGCTCACTGTCCAGGCATTGGCGCAAGAGGAGTCCAGTGTAAAACGAAAGCACTGCAAACGTGAATAATATTATGAGCCCCAACCATCCTCCTTCCTTGGCAGCATATGGGGTTGAAAGGATTCCAACTCCACATAGCACATTGATGCCTGCATAAACCCAAAATGGAAAAGACTTAGGAATGCTACAAATTTGATTGGATTGGAACACTGGAATCTGGTTTCATATTTAAGTAAATGTAAACTTTAGTTGTTTTTAACCAATATTGATTGTCTGGGTATATAACATAATCTATGGTTTGACTGATAATGATGAATGAATCTATTGTTGTAACCATAGTTCATTGACGCCTAATTTCTATAGTTCTGTTGGCAAGTTGACCTTTTTTCATGTGCCCTATGTGCAGTGGAAGTCAGGCCACCTCATCATAGTTCATTGAGAAATATATATCAGTTGGTTTTCATGTCCATATATGATGACGTTAATGAGATATGGACAAAGACAATATGACAGACGTGAAATTTAGGAAAACAATATACAGTTTTCTACAATTAAAACACCTATTGGCTAAGGTCTGCAAGCCACATAAGCTGAGAGAGGGATAAAATGAAAACAATCAAGATATGGTAGACAAAGCTGAGCTCTAAGTTCAAGCCCTGTGTGGAGGGGATGATGGTGACAAAAATGTGACCCCCCAGTTTTAGGTTTTACTTGAAACGATGTGCTCCCAGATTCAACCCAACATGATTGGTTTTCTGTGGTCCCTTTTGATGAAAGGCCAACAAAGGGTTAGGGTTGGTGGCTGTAACAATTCTAAATGTACAAGTGGCTTCATAAAAAGATAGGCTAGATGATGCAAATTTAAAGGCCTTTTGGGTCTATTCCAAGCCAATAATTTTCATTAGTTTAATAATAAGGATGTTTTCATACAGTGAAGTTAACGACTCCCTTCAAGTTCATACAATTTCTTAAAATAAAGGATTGCCGACACCCAGAACCACCATGATCTTTTTCATTGCATGATCTGATTTTGGTCAACTCAGCCAAACCTGAATGTAGGCAATCTTTTTGGAAGGACTCGATACTAAATCAAAGTAGATGACAGACAGGAAAATAAAGTTTATGCCATGCCTATAAATTTTGTAAGACAGATGCAATATAACCGCTTATTATGTAACCATGTGACAGACAAACTTTGGGGAATGGCCCAGAGTTACATAAACTAACCATTTAGCACAGCTTGCCCGTATGAGCACTGGCGAGAAATTGGAAGTTCATGGGAGACCTTGGAGGTCTTGTCATCTACTCTGACAGATTGTCTCCTTGATGGAATGGGGGGTAGGAGAGTGTGCGAACTACGTCTATGAGGCTGTATTTGATCATCTACTGTTGGTAGTAGAGGTTTTGTCACTGCAGATAATGATTCCGGGGTATGTCTTCTTGTAAACGATGAGGAAAGAAACGAACTGCCTAATCTTGAAAGTGTAGGAGTGCCCAAGAACCCGATACTTGGAGATGGTACACTACTGTACAAATCAATAGACTGCCTGGAAAATTAACAGAACCCCATAAGCATTTGAAACTATAAGTGGAAGCAATGCCTCATAGAAGCAATTTATCAGGCTTTTTCACCTAACCCAACTACATGATACTATGCAGATTAAAGGTCCTATAACAGTTGCCATTATCACATTCCATTTCTCCTAAAACAGTAGCAGTTTACTTTGGATCCAGGAATTTCAACTTATGTCAAATTTGGCAAAATCTTCTATACAAGAATGTCCTATTATTTGTGTTCTTGAGGAAATTGTCTTGAATGTTCCAGCAGCAGAAGGAAGAACAATTGAGTGATCAAAAGTTAAATGCAAGAAACCAACTTTTTGTTGTGCATTATAAGGTAAAAATCAAACCATCAACCAATTTAAATAGTCTATCTCTTTTAGGGTCCCATAGAGGATTGATGTTTCCAATATCAACTGGGGTAGCATAATTGAATAATTGGAGATAAGATTTGTAGGCGAAGGTGTCACAGAGAAGCATCTCCTTTACAAACGTTTACACAACACTCATCCCTGATCTATATCATGAGTCTATCAATCAATCATAGTTTAAGTACATTATTTCCCTTTCTAAAGATCTGCTTAAATCTGCCCGTATTTTCCCTGATTTCACTTTATACTCTTCTGTTTACCTTCTCCTATACCAAATTCACAAACAGTTCTCATCAAGAAAAGACAATCCAAGTGGAAAGAGAAAAGAAAATATTAATGTTTCTTTTCGAGGTGATTCTTATCTTTTGATCCTGGAAATTAGTCAAAATAAATCTTTGGAAAAAGATAAAATATCCAGGCTTATGAGGGTGAACAGAAGAAAGCTGAGAAAAACAGAGCAGTAGGAAAATCATGAAAGCATATGAAAAGAGAAATGACCTGTAACTTTGAGGCCATGACGTGTTGTAGGAACTGGGTTTATTCTGCTGCTGGTCTTCAGCCGAAGAATCAGATACGTCAGATTCATTTCCATCATCTTCTCCTTCATGTCTGTTAAACACTTTCTCCTCATCTTCCTCATCTTCACTCTCAATGTAGAAACTCTGGTCCGAAACCGAGTTCTTCATTCTCTTGCAACCTCAATCTCCTACAGCAAAAATCATGAAAGCTCTCAACCTCCCACGGCAAAAATCATGAAAAATCAATAGAAAACCAGGCTAATTGTAAGAAGGAATTGAATTTGAAAGGCTGTGAAATAAGAGGAAAAACCACATATTGCATACCTTAAATGGAAGTATTCAATTCTGCTTTATGATTGGCCTGGTTTGGCAGGTTGTTCTCAATAAATGTACCAACAAATGTTGATTAAATTGCATGAGGTAATGAGAGGGAATTGTTATATATTTATCTGTATGAAATTAAACAAAGAAATAAATCAAGTCCTGAGAAAAAAGGAAAAAAAGATTAGTCAAGTTGTTCAGAAATGGTAAATTGATTTAAATACAGCAATAATGGTTCATAATTGTAAAGAACATAGTAATTCAGCAATAATAAGACAGTGATACACTCAAAACGTAAAACTTGCCATATTTCTAGGAGCTAAGTTTGAAGCTTTCAAACTGAACTCTTGTGTCTTGAACTGTTATGTTCTGTTTGGTTTCTGAGTACCAAAAGAGAAAAAATGGAAAAGGAAGAGGATTTTCTTTGTTTGTGGAAACTTTTGAATTCTTCAATTCATTCCTATATTCTTCATCTTAGATTTCTCAGCAACCAAACAGAAATCTCCAGAACATAAAACCAGAAAGAAACCAAGTCCAAAAGTAACCAAAAACACAAAAGATTTATTGTTTTTTCCTTTTCTTATTCTTTTCCCAAGAGATTATCTCAGCTACACCAAACAGAAACCATTTACCATACTACAAAACCTGTCTCCTTATAAAGACACTGCAATGGCTTCTTTATTTAAAAGAAACAAAGAATAGAATCAGAAAAGTAACCTTTCTCTGAACATCTGATACCAAAAGTGAACTGGGTTTTTTCTTAAGTTGAGGATCTGTATCAATAAACACAAGAAAAGAAGAGCAACCACACAGAAAGAAAGCGCTAGAAACAGAGAAAAGTAGTCTGCTGGGGCTTACTTGTTTGAGTCGTTTCTCTCAAAGATATATATATATAACAATAATAATCTCTACAGTTTTTACTTTAAATTTGTACTTGAATTATTTAGATGAATGATGATGAACAGGTGATTCATGAGGATAGAAACATACTAATTGATTGCAAAGCTGTAAATGTCCGCCCCAATGAATTTTCCAACCAAAACTTGCTGCCAGTAGCTAGCTGACAAGTAATTTAAGCTGTAAGAATTTGAAAAGGAAACATTCAGTACTACTTGTTCATTGCTTCTATTTTGTATTTATCTTAAAACGTTTTGATAGAATTAGCTATAGATAATGAATTTATCCGTTTCGTACAAGCTGAATTTGCCGTTTCGTTAAGAACTCTGAAGGAATAAACCCACCCCCCACATAAACTTCACATGCATTTATGTGGTTCATAAAAAAAAAAAAAAAAAATATAAAAATTTTGCTTATGGTACAAGGAAGTTTCTTGTGAATTACAAAAAAAAAAAAAAAATCTTAATGATTTATGTAAATATTTGATTAGTTTATTTAATTTACATTTGATTCAATGATAATTATATATATTCTCGTATCAGATAAGTGGATTTAAATAATTTGAATTTAGATTTATATTTAGGTGTAAGTTCTTGGATTAAATTGTTCGACCCAAAGTTAATTCGATCGATGATATTGTATTAAGGCTGAATTAGTTAGAAAATATAAAAATTTGATTGAAATCATTAATCAAGTTAATCATGTGAGTTCCTTTTATTCCAAATAATACTTGCAGGGTTTGGTAGTGTCTAGAGATTTAGAATCCAAAAAGCAGACAAAATTTTCTTACCTTTCTTGTCAATTATAAACCTCATGCTGGACAAAATATACCCACTTTAGCTCTATATTTCTAGCTGAATATGGACATGCAATGGGACCAAAAGCAATTATTTACTCATTTCCAATCTCTAGGCAGCTGATATCTTGTACCTTTTGATCCAATTCACAAAGAAATCTAATTCAAATTTGAAAAATATAATTAAATAATTCTCAAAAAATTACAAAAACCCAAACATAATCTAATTATGATCCTTACCAATCTTTTGAAGGATTATTTAAGTAAATTGATTCAGAAATTAAGCTCAAAATTTGGTAAATTTATAATTGTAATTCCTTTACCATTAAATTAACTTTTCAATATAAGTTTAGGTATAATTATAAATCAATTCTTTTTTCATTAAATTTAATTTACGTGAGTTACTATATAGCAATTAGTTTTAAATTGAACATTTATCTTAAAAAATTTAATAATTAAAAATAAAGATTAAGAAAAGATAGAATAAACATCATATAGCTTGACTGGCTGTTGCAAACATTTCCCTAAGCAAACAATTCTGTGCATTAATTATTGGATCACGAGGTCCCATTAATATGATTCCATTCTTTAACCACATGAGAGAACAGAATTGCGTTGTTGATTTTCCGCTTCTCCATGTGTGCTTCTTGTCCTTAGAAAACGATAAATTTAGTTACATAATTTGACAAATTCGTACCACAAAATAAAAACAAAAAAAAAAGCAACACAATTAGATCATCATTACAGCAAGTGTTTCGATTCATAGTAATTAAATCTTGAGACATTTCGATACTAAGAATTTAAAATTATTATATTTTAAAATTTTTAAATTGACATTTTGAGATGCACGGCATTAAAAGATAAGATTAGAGAAGATTATCTTTAATGAGAAATTAAAATCTTTAAATATAAACAAATTAATTGATCAAAGTTAGAAAAATAATTTCTCAAAATTTTACATTTTAATTTTGCTTTGAACTCTAATGCCCAAAAGATTTACACTTTTAAAGAATTAATGCTTTTTATCTTTTTTTTTTAATGCAAAGTCTCAGTAGTAGTTTTATAATATATACTATTAAAATTTAGAAGGAATAAGAACAACTAAACACTATTTGCATCTGAATATTTAGTTTATTAGTTGATACATTATCTCCTGTTTAAAAAGTAAAATTTGAATAATTTCTCTTTCAATTATATAAAATAAAAACTAAGTGCTATCTTTTTTTTTTTCCTTTTATGAATACCCATTTGTCTCATAAAAATTATTTCTACATTCTCGAGGGGACATTGCAATTGTTAAAATTGGAGATTTGAAATTTTGTATGAAAATTCCAAATTCAAATCTTGAAAAAAATGTTATTATTACATAGTATTTAAAATTATAACGAAATTAATTTCATTTGGAAATTTGAGTAAAACAAATTCTTTTTTGTTTTGGTACATAAATTAAATTCCTTTTTCACTTAAAAGGCTAGAACATCTACCTACTGGACCAATCGTGTCAAAGGAACAATTAATGTACATTTGGAGAGAGCATGAATGTATATGGGACAAGATATAGGCTATGTGAATTACAGCCTTTTTTGAGTTGGAAAGATATAAATTTTTATATATAATTAAAAAGGAAAACATGCATGTGCACATAGTGTACTTGACCAGAGATCCAATCTACATACAAGCACAACATATTAACAGAATGTTTTATTTTTTGTTGAAAAAAAATTATTGTACTGGGTTATGTCCAAATCTAAGCACATGCATTGTTGGTGATTGTCAGCTGAATGGATAAGAATGCATGTCCAAAATCGATTTGGGAAAAAAAATCAAGCCCTCATCAATGATGAATATGTTTCATTAATTTCAACCTGATATAAAATCAAAATAGACAAGATCAAAAGAAGAAACAAAATACACAGAGATGACACATTGAAACTGATCACTCTACAGACGGGAATATGTCCTGTCGTTATCCATCCAATGTAAGAGAACAAAGAGAAAGAGAGAGAGAGACAGACATGAATTTTCTCCCTACAATTAATGGTTTTGTTTTATATTACTCATTCTACTTTTGCCTTTTTTGTTTTTTTTTTTAATTTTTTTTTGAGTTTTACTTTTTAACATTTGTGGAAATTATTACTTGTTTGGTGTGATATGACAAATTTGTTGCCTTTTTTTTCTTATTATTTTTAATAATTACACTGATATTTTTACTCATCTTATGGAGTAAATAAATAACTTAGTAAGTAAATTCTCCCACCTGAGTGAATTTTTGATTTGAGCCTTATTGAGATATAACCCTTCATCAGCACTGATGTTAAAGTATTATATTTTGAAATATGATACATCTTATCTTGACTCTGTATCCACTTTGAAGTTCTTTTTTATTTTATCAAATATAAAATGCAAGAATTTTTTGCTCTACCTTAAAACACCTCTATCCCTAACTGAAACTTATACAAGAACATGATTTTGTAATGCCTCTGACTTTTAATGAGTTTAAGAAGGCAATTTACTTGATGAGCTTAGAAGAAATTAGGTTTTGTTGAAAAATTATGGATAAATCAAAAACAAGTATCGATACTTATATGACAGAATGCCTTGGGGAGTATTTTATGTGAAAAGTATGGATACATTGTACAAATATATAGATACTTCCATGTAATAATGCAAAAGAAATATAAGGTTCTTGACTTGAACGGCCTTTTTATTTTCTTTCCAACCCGAGACACCTTCAAATCCCTTCTCCCATTCTAACTCCAAAATAAGTGTAGAGGTGGATTCAAGTTGAAATTAAGCAAATTAAAGTAAGTATTACCCATTTCTAGATGAATTGACCAATTGGTTCTTTTGAATTTGTGTTTCCACTAAGAGATATGTGATTTTCCTCTTAGGTGAGGGGGTTGTTGAGTTGAGTCCAGTCCTTTGGAGTAAACTCACCAAGGTAAGTGTAAGTTAAAAATGAGTTAGTGATAATGTGGATTGTGTAATTGAAAAGGTGTTTGAGTTGAGTTAAAGTCAAGATGTGGGTATTATGTGCTGGAAGGATTGTGGATGGAAATGGGTATGAGAAAAATATTAATTGTTGCGCATTGGTTTAATGGTAGACTGCGTTGGAGCTCCAAAGTCTTGTTGCCAAGGAGTTTGGTTAATTGGTTTGGCTACTGTGTTGGTTAAGCTACACTGTAGGTGCAAAGTGGATATGCATTCTAAATGTTTCATGAAATGCACGAAAAGCTTTAAGTATGATTGAGCGTAAATGTTTTTAAAATGTGCATGGGAATAAGCTTTTGTGTATTGATACTCTATACTGATGTATGTGTTCTCGACTAACATGTGAACTTGATGGCCTAAAAACTTATAAGTATTGTACTATGATGCTGTATATGTTATTGAGTTGATATGTTGTTATGTTGTAAACTTATGCTGTATATGTTATGATGATGTGTTAAGAGATTGTGACATGTCCATTGAATGACATTGTGGCTAAGGCTAGATGGCCGTATCGTTTTTAATTGGTGAATTAGGTATGTAAAGGTATGACCTTAGCTGGCAAAGGGGAAATGGTGCTAGCCGTATGCTGAAAATGATAGCACACGAGATATAATCTGAGGACCATGGCTATATGCACTGGATAGTGATATAGTGTCCACTGATAGTGAGGGGAAAATATCACTATCTCGTGTTTAAGAATGCTACGATTCCCTAGTTAGTGAGGGAAAAATATCACTATCTCGTGTTTGAGCGTCCCATGGAATAACTCAATTCCCTTAATAGTGAAAAAGAAACATCACTAACCCATGGTTCGAAAATCCCATAGAAAGGTATAGAAACTAGTTAAGTGTACTCCGGTAATGTTGATATTGTGAATGCTAAAGTGAAATAGCAAGTTTGGAAGTGTTTTCTTGATGATTGTGATGATTGATAGGTATGACTGAGTTTATAAGTGTGGAAATGTGTTAATTAAGATTTGAATATTGAAAAAATTGTTGATAGGTTTGAGCTTTTGAATGAAATGAATAAACAAGTTTAACAATTAGAAATTGCAGAAAGTCCACAAATTTTGAACGAAGTATGGATACTTTGATATTTGTTTATTAAGATAAAATATTAGGGTTTTTTGAACCAAATGTATCGATACATCTTGTAAAAGTAAAAGTATCACTACTTGTGTTCTGTTTTTGGATGAATGATGGTTATATAGTTGGTTTGTTCACGAGAATATTTTCCTAGTAGTATTAATCATCTAATTGAGTAAAGAAAGAATGTTTTTAAATTGATATAACTGTTTAAAAGTGAAATATTGACATTACATCATGGATTTGACTTATGAGCAAAACTGCATGGTTTCAAAGAAAGAAGAAAATTGTTTATAAACTCTCTCGCTTATTGCTTGTTCCCCTCAAACATCTCTCACTGGGTTATACTCATTATTTCAAATTGCATTTTTCCAGATCTAGAGGTAGCTAGATCATAGATATTCCAAGGGAATCCTAGTACATCTTTTCGTAGGTTTGAGACCATGGCATTCAATAGTTATCTCCTCACCCAGATTCACTCCACTAGTTGTGTGGTTTTTTTGGCCACTTGGTCTTGTGTATATATATTGTGGGTTACGGGATATGTATGTAAATTGTCTAGTGTATGGTGACATAGCCGCAAGTTGGCGAATATGATACGAATTTGTGTATGACATATGCAAGTACATGATGGATGTTTATAACACACAGTTGTGCAAGTTTGTAAATGCTATAAGTATAGAGATGTGAAATTAAAGATGGATGTTTATCAATTGACTGAGCACCCTTATGAGGACCTATACAGGTAATATATGTCTAAGGCTTGTGTGGGCTGCATAGAAAAAATATTTTAAGTATTTGAAGCAAACAAGTGCATCTTACGTGTATGAGATGTAAAATCTCAATGAGTAGACACAAGGAGGGAGAACAAGCTAATTAGCAGGTGGTTATAATAAAACACAATTTTTATCAAGTGTGCCATAATGAAATCATAATCAATTCATATAGATAGTAAAGTTAAGAGGTTTTAAGAACATTTTAAATAGTCTCAATTACTTACAAGACCTTATAGAGGCTTGGTTCGAAGTTGCGTAGCTATACAAGGTCATAAATCATCCAAAAGGGTGTTTAAACTTAGATTTATAAATTAGGTATCAATACCTTACTCAAAGGTATCAATACTTTTAAACAGAATACTTATTGACTTACAATTATCAATACTGTTCTCAAAAAGCAATGGCAACAAGCAATGGTTATGGGAAGAGCTCGATGGTATCTTTAGGAACAGTCTTGTGCCATGGTGCTTAAGGGGCGATTTTAATATGGTGAAGAATAGTGAAGACAAAGTTGGTAGCCATGTGAATAGTAAGGCATTCTCTTAGCATGAGGAGTTCGTAGATAGTTTGGAGTTGATTAACCTTCCATTGGTGGGTGGTAAATTTACTTGGTGTTGCAACAAAATTGACCTTTCAGTTAGTAGATTAGACAAATTTTTACTGGTGAATGTGTCTTTGGAGAAAAATAAGAATTTGTTGTCAAAATACCTGACCAGTTCTCTATTGGACTATAACCCGGTTTTGTTAGGAGAAAAGGTAGTGAATCAGGGATCGAGACCATTTCATCTGTTCAATCACTAGTTAGAGGAAGGGAGTTTTTCAGATATGTTTCTTGAAGCTTGGAGGGCATCAAACAAAAGTTGGCATATGGTTCAAACTTAAGGAGACAAAGCATGCTATCAAGCAATGGCAGAAGCAAGTTGTCAATAATGGCCGGGTCCAAAATAGTAGACTTGAAGAAAAGATACAAATTAATATTACTAGTAGAGATGCAGCAAGATAATTTCGATGAAGGCAGAAGACAATTTATTGTGACCAAAAAGGTTGATATCTGGGCAAACTATAAAAAGAAAGAAAAATCATGATAGTAAAATTCTACTGTTAAGTGAACTATTGAAGGAGATTGGAACACAAAATTTTTTATACTTGATGGCATGAAGGAGAAGGACAAACTTCATTGAGAAACTTATAATCCAAGGGAGATTAATTAGTCACCATCTTGAGATTCTGAAAAAGGAAGTAGCTAACCATTTTGAATCTTTTTATAGATCACTTGAGAAGCCCATGTTAGTCATCTCAATTAATGTTGATTTGCTTTAATTACAAAGTAAACTAACCAAAATAATTAAAAGCAGTACCAGAAATGTTTTACGTGTTGATTAGCGAAACTCATGCAGGTGTAGCAAATGTCCACTAGATTTCACTTACATCACCAAACAGGATAGCAACTTGAACCAATTCATGGCGGCTATACAACATGAGAATCAGCTTTGAGGATGAACTGGATTCAACTAAAACTTCTCCATGCCAATCACGCAAAAGGATGATCATGGTTGACTAGTATAAAGTTGGATATACAGTACCAGGAAATTACTTGAGTGGACTAAAGCAAACATTTTGCAGACAGCAAGTGACTGCACAACCTATTGAATGTTAATGTATTGTTTACCAATAGTTGAAAGCAAAAGGTATCTTGAATTGGAATCTTGATGCAATCATATCCTTTCAAATATTTTCCAGGATGAATCTTCCTGAAAATGTCCTTCGCTTTCTTCAAGTCAAGTCTCCTATACCTGAATAATATGCATTCCACGTGTGAATCACCCTGATTTGTTAATAGCAAAGATTCTATTTACAACATCTGAATTCTGATCAATGCTCTCTAAGAACGGGGAAGAGTTACTAATGAAGGGTTAGCTTCATGTGGCCTGATTCAATAGTGAGTAAGTCTAATTAGCTAGGTTAGCATTTTTCTGATCACTCTTTTATGTTGGAGTCAAGATTTCACATTTGGAGGGGAAGACAATATTTATAAAATAGTTATACTAAAAGTTCAATCTTTGACAAAAATGTAAAAGAATTTAAATGAAAAAAATTTATGTAAAATTATATAAATAACTCTAATTACATGTTAAGTACAAAATAAAGATATTTTTTAACAACTATTGCATACTAAGATTAGATATTTTTAATTGAGTTTGACGCTCTTTTATAGAGTTGAAGACATTTATCACTCAATCAATACCAAAGCCTCGAATGATTTTTTCTTTCAATGCAAATAGTCAATGACTATTTAAGAAAATTATCTAACATTTTACTACAAGACTCATTGTTAATGAGTTTCGTAACAAAAAATGCATGCTGCAATAGGTTTTACTTTAGTCTCTAAATCTACTTAAATTAGTTATTAACTAATCGCTGTGAGAGTGTCTTAACAAAAAAATTATTGTAAAGACAAAATTTTAAATTTTTTTTAAAAAAGCAAGAATATATTGTGAAATTTTAAAAATTTTTAGAGTCTAAGGGTCCTATTAGCCTCCATTCCCTCTCCCACAAGGCATCGATCTTGCCAAAGCCGACAAACTAAATATTTTTTTTTCAATTTATAATATCTACATGATAATAAAAAAATATTAGAAAATGTTGATTATAAAAGTTTAATTAGAAATTTTACATCTCAAAAAGTTAGAAGAATAAAATTTAAATAATATTTTTTAAAATTTCAATATAAAAGACCTCATTTAAATATTTCACTTCTTTAAGTCTTAGACAGCATTGAATTGTCCCTGGATTTTGCAAATGCCCCAACCACAAATCTAGGAACTGTCCCAACCACATCTAAAACATTGAAAAAGGAGCTTAATGGCTAATGGAGTTATAACAAGTTATGTGTTGTCTAACTTATGCTATATGTGATAATTACTATTGCTCATTTCCATTATTAGATACATTGAGTCAAGTTGTTGGAGGTTAATTGAGCTTTTCTAACATAATTACTATTGCTCAAGTTGTTCCAGGTTAAGATCATTTATCTTTTCCAATTGGATTTGATCATCTTTCATCTTCCTTATCCCTAAGCATTAGGGTTGTTTCAACCCTACTGTATGCAACAGTCCTGATGGTGAACCACGTTAGATTTTGTGATTGGGACATAATTAATAATCATAACTCAATAAATCATCTCAAGGCAATTGGATTCAGGAAACCTTTTTGGGCAGAGACAATGTTGTGGACAATTACACCTCAACAGTTAAACTTGAGAACTTGAGGTTTATAAGATGAATAGAGGACTCTTTCACATATGTCCAAAAAGAATACTACTATCAATATTTGGAACAAGGGTAAAAGTGTTAATAAACTTGAATGTGAGGTTGAAGTCAAAACATTTACACATTTCATGTTAATTACACAAATTACTTGCACCTTGTAGCCTATATCAACTGCATACTGTATTATGTTACAATGTTTACTGTACAAAATTCCTTTATAAAGGGAGTAGAAAATAATTTCAAAAAAGGAACCAAAAAAACGAGCTAGTTTTATCAGGCTAGACAAAGCACGCATGTCACTGTGTGGATCTCTGGTTGGCCACTTCCCTCCTAGTTAGGCCAACAACTCCCTGAACATATCCTTTCTCCTCTTGAAACAATGTGATAATATGAACACAATGCAAAATCTTCACCGTGTGATAACAAGCATGGAATAACACTAATCCTGCAACGACCTGGGTGGATTTGGAAAATATCTATCAAGTATCACGTGAAGTAGGGAAGCTAACTCCATCTTTCAGATGACTAATTGATGCCGGCCATAACCATCTCAGCATGTTGGGACCCAATACCTGATTAAGAGGCAGATAAAATCACATACTAATAGCTTACAGGTACAATATATTATGAAGAAAATAAAGACGAAAGACACACACACAGCCAAGCAAGAGAAGGAGGGAGAAGTACCAGGGTAATATTTTTGTAAACGCTAAGATCAAATGGATGACGATAGCTCAGCCCAGATTTCTTAGCCAACCATGTAGCTCGTATTCCTTCATAATACTGGCAAAAGGATAATTTCAGGGAGATTTAAACAACTATGCAGGAGTAATCCAAGCCATGCATCCAACTGTAAAAATCAACCCACCTCTATGGTTGTCATATTGTGAGTTATTAGGTAGATATGCCAACCTAAGAGAGTCCCAAGTGTTGCAAATAATGCAACCATCATTGCTCCACAAGCAACCTACAAAACATACCACCCTCAGAATTTAGTAATAGCTGGATTGCAGAGACAGGGAAAAAAAATGTTTGGGGGGGGAGGAGCACAGGTTAGCAAGAAGCAGACATTAAAAGGAAAGATGAGTCTCTTCAGTCATATTGCAAAGGAGCCAGGACTTATTGACATAAAGTTTTATGACTTAAGCAGGTCAAACACTAAGTGAGGAGGCTCCTGGAATTCAATTTGGTAAATTGATGAAATAACAAACTCAGAAGCCACTATAGAAGCTGAAATTTTAATTTAAATCTAGTAGAGTTAAAACTCAAGTTTCAAGTTTTCTATCCAAAATGAAAGGAGGTAGTCCAAGAATAAATCAAATTTATATATTCTAGACTAGTGAAGAAGAGAATTTATATCACAGGACTCTCCAAGTAACCAGCAAGGATTAAATAAATCCGACTAAGAATGGGCATCTAGCTCTTTTTGGACATTCGACATGAGATTAGGGTTGTTCTCCTTCAATAGTAGGGAAGAAAAATTAAGGGTACCCTAAAAAGTACATGTCTTGTTTAATACTTTAACATGTCCCCTAATATGTAGAAAAGAAGTGTGCACAAACATTGGTCAAGTATAATAAAATGGATAAAGTTAAACAAAAAAAAAGAGGGTCAGACTGTATACATTTTGATTTAAGAGGACAAGGATTAAGAGGAAAACAACATATGATCAACATAGTTTAGAGAGACTTAACCAGAATACACCAAAAATCTAGAAACTAAAGGTAAAGAAGTGTAGCCAACTAGATTTTATATTTACTTTGGACTCTGACTCACCATCTAAAATTACACAATACACAGCAATTCTGTTAGCCAGAAACAGCTAATGTAGACATAGTTGTCGAGACCTAGCTTCTCTACAAGTTTAGAAACAGGGGACAGGCCATTAGCCAGAATTCTAGCTTAAATAATTCATTTGACCAAATATATTGCTGTAAAAACAATAAAATCACAAATGCAGCTAATCAACTACCTATTATAACTACCAACTTACATAAAAAATTTTGAGGGGAGTTCTTCCACTGTAATTCCAGTCCTTCTGACAGGCACAGCTTATTATGATTATCTAAGCATGACAGATTTTAAGTCAAAACTTGGTGCAACTTCGTAGCAATAATACAATACAAGAAACCAATGATACATACTGTGGAGTGGATGCTACCGATGGTTGCATAAAGTATAAGATTGAAGAAAGCTTTATAGTTACAATAACCAACACAATTATTTATCCACAGGCAATGATGGTCCTGCACCCAATTAGAGCATTAGAGTCTTAGAAACCATAAATTTGCAAATTTCATGGTTAAAGAAAAACTCTTACTCACATAAAAATTGCTAAAATAAATACAGCCTACCATCCTTAGTATGCATCTTCTGCAAACCCGGCAGTGATGAGCCCTGGGAGGCTTATAAGCAGCACATTTGTCACAATATTTTGATTGCACACCCTAAATCTTTCATCCATGAAGTAAAAATACATAATGAAGTTATACACTTTGCATGATGCATAACTGAAATCAAAATCACACGTCTAACTAACAGCTGGATTGACTACTCAATATCACACGTCTCATATCATTATTTGTGAAGAACCTTTATGAACCTCAATTCGGCCATTTGACATTGATTGCCTTAATGTCATAACAAGCTTCTGACAACTATAAAACCCGTATACATAAACTTTAGCATATTCTTAAATCATAAAAAATGCAATATTTAGAATATTGCAAATACCAAAGCTTAAGACTAGACAACAAATATTAACTTTTCATGTTGTGGCTACAACTGTATCATGTAAGACATCTGTAAAAGAATTTAAACCCAAGAAATGAGAAGTGCCAACACTGTTAAGCTCCTAAAGCCTTTGGAAATAGTTAGGCTCCATTTGGTTGATGTTTTTGCTCTTCGCTTTTTGTTTTTTCTATTTTCTATTCATTTTGCTTCTTCTTTTCTATTCATTTTTTGCAAAAAGAAGAAAAAAAAGAGCAAAAGAATCAATCAAATGGAGTCTTAAATTAGTCTTCATATCCAAAAGATCCCAATTGGAATAAAACACGTATGCTTGAAATTTTTACAATTGGAATAAAAGTAAAAGCTCCATTAATTACCCTATTTTATTGAACATATTTCGAGTTAAATTTGGAGATGGTAAATGACAGCATTCTACAAAAAGTAAACAGTTCCTAACCCTGTCCTACAAAATCCACCAGCATCTACCACTTAATACCCAACATTTCAATCCAATTCTCTAAAAGCTTTCTAATGAAAGTAAAAAACCCAAATCACATCATATATCAAAACACAAAAAATTCAACTTCCCTTGAAAATATTGATTTAATACATTTAGAAAAAAAGGAAAAACAAAACTTACATTTTTCTTGGGTTCTTCATCTGAGACAGAAGAACTATCTTCAACATCAGGGAGATAAGAAGAAGGAACATAACCTGGGTCAGTAAGAACGCCAGCAGAAAAAGAGAAGAGACATAGAGAAGCCAAGAAAGTGAAGATCATGGCATTTAATGATCCAGCTGAGCTCTGCAAACCAACCCAATCTTCAATGAAAATGAAAACTGTGATATAATAAACAAAACCCATCAAAAAAAACACAGCAAAGATTGGAATTGAGAGGAATTTTTGGTACTGCATTTTGGAGAACTATTGGGTTGAGAAGAAGAAGAGAGCTGGTAGACATGAAAGTTTGTTACTTTTTGGTCGTTGCTGGAAAATGAATTTCGTCCAAACTATCTTGGGCTCGTTATCAAGGGTTTGGGTTATAGTTTTTGGGCCGTTGATAACCTGACAGTCAAGTTGGAATTTTGTGAAATTTTTTATTTAAAAAGTTAATTATAAAAAAAAAGAAATTAAGAATCAAAATTAATGGATTGATGATATTATTACTTGTTAAACACATAAAGCATAGAAAACAGTTTAACCAAGATTTAATTTTTATTTAAATAAGCGTATATTAATTAAAAATTAGGACAAAATTTGCCCTTTTTAATAAACAGGGATTAAGTTGGTGCAAGAATATTATATATATATATATATTTAATCAATAATGCATTAATTTGTTCAGAAATGCAGAGATTGTGTTATATTGATATACTGTTTTATCTGCATTTTATGCCATTACAAGGAATTAATAATGTTAAAATTTTTTTTTTAAAAAAATAAGGAGTAAATAAAATGAAGAATTAATAATGTGAAGAACCAAAGAACAGACCTGTGAAATTAAGCAGCAAAATAAAAAGACCAAGGCTTTGCATTTTTGTGCGGCCCAGATTCTAGGAAATTGAATTGAATCTAACGGTGAGATGATGAGCTGAAAAAGGGGTAAAAGTGGAACAATGACCAGTCTTGCTTCCTGAAAATGCATCACTTATTCAACCAAATGACAAAATGAAGCATTAATAAGAGAGAGGATTGTAAGAAAATTACTTCAATTTTCATCAAATTAGGCAAAGCAGCAGACAACGTCCTTGGGTTCTCAATCTCAACCAATGAGAATATCTGGGACGTGAGAAATCTTAGCCCAATCGGCGCCGGTGTCCCTTTCGCATCTTTCACTCAAACGGGGACAATCACTGATTACGAGCAGCCGTAGATTGGTGAGTCGACTCATCCCTTCTGGCAATGACTGTAATTTGTGGCAGCTTCTAATTTGCAACTCTTGGAGGGAGGTGAGACTAGGTATCCAGTTAGGCAATGCCATCAAATTGGGACAAGTCAAAATTGTCAACTTTTGTAAAGAGGTGAGGGCATGCACTTCTGTCTGCAACGATGTCAACTCAGGACAACTGTCAATGTTTAGAGTATCAAGATTAGTGCAGCGGCAATTTTGTAAAAAATCCTTTAGCGCTGATTCTACATTCTCCATCTCATATAAAGTCAAAGACTTCAAATTGGAGAGAGGAAGAGTAGTCGATGATGATGTTGTTGCCGCTGATCTTATCTTCCCCTTGGTTCTCATCGTCGATGTCTGTTGCAATGGCCTTCCACTGGTTCTCCCCAAGCTCAACTTGTCATTGAGAGTTGGGAACAATGGGAAGGAGGTTAGCTTAGGACATTCCCGAATTTCTAACGTGGAAAGGCAAGGAAAGTGAGGCAGTAGCTCTGCAGTTGATGCTTCAGTTGATTCTTCATCATCCTCATCATCTTCCTTCCTCCTCCTCCACCATCCCTTGAGATTGGGACAATGACGAATCCGCAGAGATTCAAGGGATGGGAAGAACGTCGTTGTTGTCGACGTGTCTATTTCTATTTCTGACACGTGTTCTAAAGCACGCAAATTCCAAAGTCTCAGAAACTTTAGAGAGGGGAGATGATCCATAGAAGGTAGATTTCGGCATTTCTCACAAGCCAGTATTTGAATGTTGACTAAATTTGTGATGGAAGACAACCAATTCGAAAACTTGGCTCCGTTAAACCCCCATACCCCCAGCTCCTTGAGATTTGGTGATTGAAAAAATGTTCTTATTTTATTTGCCTTGAGTGAGACACTTGGAATCTTCCATGAAAAGTCTAATTTCTCACCAAATGACACATGACGTGTGTTTTTATTTAAATTTTCTACATTTAAATTTGTAAGAACAAAGCACTCAGTTCCAGCAACAGATTTGGCAAGATCATGCATCAAATCATGCATCTTGCAACTTACCATATTGCTAAGATTATCTTTTTCTGCCTCTTGAAAGAAAGATCTCCAAAGCAAATCCATGAAGTAATCATGACCAACATCCTCTAGAGATTGGCCTCTGTCTTGCGACTGAATAAATCCTTGAGCCATCCAAAGCTTTATCAAAGCATGCTTACTGATTCTATAATCCTTGGGAAATAAGGAACAATAAGCAAAGCATTGCTTCAAATGTGATGGAAGATGATCATAACTCAACCTTAAAATTGGCTCAATACCAGTTCCTTTTTGAGTTATATGTTCAAGCACACGTGACCACTTTGATTTGGTTATTTCAAGGCATAAAACGCTTCCTATGGACCTAATTGCTAAAGGAACCCCTGCACAGTATTTCACAATCTTTTCTCCAATTGTTTCTAACTCTAAGTCGAGAAAATTGGAAGTTTGGATTTGTTTTTCAAATGTCATTTGCTTAAATAAAGACAAAGATTGACTTTCTGATAGACCACCTAAAAAGTATGGTGAAATTGTGCCTGTAACTCTTCCAACCAATTCACTCCTTGTAGTTACAACAATCCTACTTCCTCTAGCTCCCCCCATTAACAGATTTTTCACCTTAGACCATTTCTGTGCATCCTCATTCCACACATCATCTAGGACTAGCAAATATTTCTTTCCATCAATTTCCTTTCGGAGGTCATTTTGCAGTATTTCCATTTGACAGTTTTGTTGAACTTTCTTTTGAGTTGCAACCTCAAGTACTTTTTCCACAACTGTTTGAACTTCAAACCTATCTGACACACAGACCCACAGTTTTAGCTCAAACTGTGCTCTGACTTTTTCATCAATAAACACCATTTGAGCTAATGTAGTTTTTCCTAAACCTCCAAACCCAACAATGGGGACAACTCTAATACTTTCTTCAGAATGGGTTTCCAAGAGCAATTCTATAATTGCACTTTTATCACCATCTCTTCCAATCACTTCCTCTAAGCGTACAAACGAATGCGTTTGCTCTCTTTCCCTACTTTGAATTTGTGACTCTACAAGACGCTCATTAAAGTGGAAGTTGATTCTATCAGCTGAAATTGCATCTAGTTTCTCTCTTAGAGCTTGAACTCTATGACCCATCTTGAGACGATAGGAGAGCTGGTTTGATTTCGAGAAGAAAATGCGTACCTTTTTTGACATTTCATTCCCCTTCATTATCTTTCGCCGTAAAACTTCAGTGGAAAAATCATCCAGCAAGTCGTCCACATCATAAACTGCATCTTTGAGCCGCCTGAGCCAGACCGTGACCTCTCGGTTGTTGCTGTTGTGTTGATCCTCTGCATCGAGAAGGACAGCTTTGATAATGGAAACAGTTCCTTCGAGCTTGGTGAGTTCAGCTTTTACATTACTGGCCAAGTTAAGCTCTCGGAGAGCTAAAGGTCCCAGACCTTCTAGGACTTTTCCAGCAATGTCAAACAAAACTCCTTCAGCCATTTCTTTTTTTGTCTGTTTGAAAGATAATTGTAAGAGTTTTTGAAAGAAGGAAAATCTCTTGACTTGTGAATCATGATCACGTACCATTGCCAATATATATAGATGGAGAAGAGGAAGTACATAGCCAACGATACTTTCCTTGATGACAAGGGAGATGGATCCATTCTTTCCTTAAGGTGGAGAAAATATGTTTCCTAAAGCCATAAGCTTGAAGAAGATACTAACTTATTAAGGTGGAGAAGAATATGCTTGCTAAAGCTAAAAGCATGAAGAAGATGCTAACTTATGAATGACAAAAGATCTCATTGGGAAAGCCAAGTAAGAAGAAACGAAGAGAGAGCGTTAAGATGGGAGGCAATCTACTACTTTCAGCTTAACTCAGGAAACCAACACAAAGGTTTTCTTTAGTTCCAGACTCAATCTTCACGGAGTAACAATCTGTCAAGGCTCAAGGGTTATGTGTTTCTTGGGCAGAGGCTTCTAGCCAGAGTGAGAATCTAACCAGTTTCAAGCCACCATTAAATTGATTTGCAATTAAAACTTTGAATTGTATTATATTTTTAGTGCAATTACTGTTAAGTGGAAAATCAAACTTTGGTGGGTTCATTGGAAGGTTCTGGTTTACATGAAAACAAGAATAAATCACAAGCAAAGTCGACACATGTTGATCTATTGATTTATTCTAATTAATGACCATATTATCAAAAAGAATTTTCAAATTCTCATTACTTAGTACTACCATAATTAATTAGATCACATGATTTGAATTAATTTTTCCCTCTTCTTTAACTATATTTCTTGCTTAATATTCAAGACTTGAATTTAAAAAGGATTATTCTAAATAATTATAGAAAGCATATCTCTTTATTGCATGGTCATTACTTACAAATTTATTGAATATATATATATATATAATAGGATCTTAAATACTTCGAATACTAGAGGATTAACTTATAGAATTTAGTAGTATAATGTTTTTGTATTGCATTCTCATCAATCAATATAACTGCAACTTCGACCTCCCTTATATTAACTAGGCTTTTATGAATTTTCAACTCTTTCATCCTATAAAAAACTCATTTCATCTTGTTTTCTTTATTTATCTTTTTTTAAAATATTTTAAAATTATCTCATAGTCCACAAAGATTGCAACAATCTAAACTGAGACATGCAATACATAAAATACAATACAAATAAAAATTGATACATATTGTTATATATTACTTATTTCATTGATTATTGGAAGAATTTTTCGATTCATTTATTTTAAATCAAAGTTGTTGATCAATTTTAATTTTTTTTAATACTATCTTTATGTACCGTCTATTGTTTGCTTCCATTTAATTTTAATAGAGATTAAGAAAAATACATTGACTTTAATATATTTAACATTGAAAATTTTAATTTTAAAAATATTGTGCTTTAATGCTTTTTTATTCCAATTTTTTTTAAAAAATTAACAACATGAAAATTAAATTGTTAGTGGACAGAAGGAAAGATAACGATGGATGAAGCAGTAATAAATTATAAGATGTTGTTGATGGTGGAACAGTTGATCTTGAATTTATATTCAGTGGGAACAAATTACTATATATAATATTATATATACAAAAGATATAAATATAAATTAATTCAAGTGCTATAAAAAAATTTTTATGTAAAGATAATACATTACATATGTTCTCTACAAGCTTTTATATACTTTAGAATCTCTGCAAAAAAACTTTTAATTATCAATACTGTAGAATATATATACATATTTCTCTATAATATAAGCAAACAATGATTCATTCAATAAAATCCCTTCAAAATTGATAATATGTTTTAAAAAAATATTCTTTGATTATTTCTCAACATATGCAAAATTATTCCATTAGTATAAAAAATTTCAAACAGTAAATAATTAAAAACTTGCAAATGATTAAAATATATCTAAAAATAATTATTCACTTAAATATCTTCCAATTCTGAAAGAAGAAAGTGATGCAATCTTCATAATATAATCAAATGAATATTAGGAGGTTATTGGGGCAATATATATGGTTACTATCTTTATTCCATTTTCTTTATCCAATTTTTCGGAAGTAAAGTCCCAAAATCATGTTTTTATTTTATCATTAAATACTAAATATTTTTTAGTTTTTTATTTTTATTTTTTTGAACATTAAAAGCATAGACATTAAACATCAATATTATCAAAATTTTAAGATTTTAATATATAAAAATACATTGAAATGGAAACTTTTTCATAATCTAATGTCTCAACAGTTAACTAGGAGAGGTCTCAATTTGGAATCTTAAAAAGACAAGTTGAGATTTAGAGCATGAATTGAAAGGGGACTCCACCCTCATTTGGCTTTCACATATGTCCAGAAAGACTACTATTTCACAAGGGTAAAAGTGGAATAAACTTGACTATGTGATTGAAGTTGAAACATTTACAAATGTTTGTTACACAGATTACATTCAAATTGAAGCCTATATCAACTGCCCATTGTATTAAGTCACAATTTAATTAATGTACAAAATTCCTTTAAAAATAATTTTTTTTTTTTTTTAAAAAAGGAACTAAGCAAGCAGTTGATGAAATAACAAACTCAGAAGCCACTATAGAAACTGAAATTTCAATTTAAATCCAGTATAGTTAAAACTCAAGTTTCAAGTTTGCTATAGAAAATGAAAGAAGGTAGTCAAAGAATAAATCAAATTTATATCTTCTAGACTTTAGCAAAGAAGAGAATTTGTAACGCAAGGCTCTCAAAATAATCACCTGGATCAAACAAATCCAACTAAGATTGGCCGTCTAGTTCTTTTTCGACGTTAGACATCAGATTGTCTAAGGCTTGCATCAGATTAGGGTTGTTCCAAGTCTGTTAGGTTGGGTTTGTTCTGTTTGGGTCCGATTGTGGTCTCTTCTGGGGATCTCCCTTAATCAACCAGTTCTCCCTTGTTATCTTAATGCAGCCATGCTGATAACTTCTTTGCTGCCATTGTTGTGCTTAATGTTACCTTCAAGGTAAATTTCGTAAATATTTCAAGTCATGAAATTTTAACATAGATTTTTTTTTCAAAAAAATTATATCATATTTCACAAAAATTATAATAAGTTAGATCGGATTTGTAATACATATAGTATGATACGAATAAAAATTGATATATATTGTTATGTATTGAATAGAATATAAAGAAGGTTTTTGTGAAACGAGATTGTTAATAGTAGGAAATCTACAAACTATTGTAATTATAGGGATTGTGGAGGTATGAGTGTGATTGATTTACATTTCAAAATTAAAATCTTATTAAATAAATGCACCTGGTGGTATGGGAATGAGCACAACAATTTTTGGAGTTATTGTGGAGAAGTATAAATTAATAAACGTTTATATACCTTAAAAGAACTTGCCCCTAGTGGATTTAATATATGTAAATTTATTATTTATTATTTTCTTGTTTTAGGACAAATTATAGTAGATTAATTATATTTGAAATTTGACTAAAATATATAAAAGAATGATAATATATAATCCTTAATTGATATACTTATACCAAATTAAGAAAAATAAACTCTTCTATGAAGAGTAAAGATTTTTGTTTTATCAACTCCCTTCCTCATGTTCTATCTTTTTTTTTTTTTTTACAAATAAGATATAACCACCCTATTTCATCCAAAATTAATTTCAACTTATTTTATTGATTTTTTAATTTAAAAAACGAAAAACATACTAAATTTTTAACTCTTGCATCCTATAAAAATCTCTTTCCATCTTTTGTTTAAAAGTTATATTAGATTTCATTTTCTAAATGCTTAACATTCTTTCTTTTTCTAAATTTTAAAATTAATTTTCAAGATGAAAAAAGTATATTAAGATTTAACTAAAAATCTTAAATTCGAATCCGTCTCCCTTAATTTATATAAAAATCTTTCTAACATTAAATAAATTAAATCTACTATTTTGTGAAGCAAAATGTCTCTCTTTCTCTTCAATTAGTTTTGGCATTTCTGGAAGAATGTTTTTTTAGTGACATACATCAAATTATGAGGAAAAGTGGTATATATGCTATAAATGTTTTGGTAGTCACACTCCAGGATCTTCATACCTTATTTAAACTTCACAGCTCCATTATTTGTATTCCATCAGAATCAACAATACTATATCATGTTTCAATAGGAAGAAAATTGAAATTTGTATGTAAATAACAAAGATTGCAACAAGTTAAATTAAGATACACAATACGTATAGCACACGATACATATCATTGTAATCTTTATTCAAAATACATATAAAAAACTATTCATTTAAATATTTTCAAGTTTTGAAAGAAGAAAGTATTTCAATATCCTTTCGTTTCTTCCAAGTTTCTTTCGTAAAATTATTTATCATTATTCTTTTCATTATATTGGTTCGGGTTCTTTATTACTCTCGTTATGTTTTATAATATTTCTTTCATGGGAAAGCACCAGGGAAGGACGTGAGGTAAGATAGGAATTTTTCACTTGTTAATATCTTTCACATTTTGTTGTTCTGTAATTTTCTAAGATCCTATTTTAATAAACAAATTAACTATAAAAGTTTATTTATATATTATTATACATTATTATTTTGTAAAGTAAGTTACTTTTTATTATAATTATACTTTTATTCTTTCCAATATTTATAATGATGTGATATATATTTTACTTTTTGTCAACTTTAATAGGGAAACAATATAAATGAGCTAAAATTTTTAATTATTTTTATAATATAATCAAATGAATATTAGGATGTTATCGGGACAACATACATGGTTTATAATTTTACATGCAAATATATATATGGTTACTACTTTTATTCTGTTTTCATTATCCAAATTTTTGGAAGTAAAGTCCCAAAGTTATGTTTTTTTCTTATTATTGAATACCCAATACTTTTATTTTTTATTTTTATGTCATATTCATATTTTTCTTTTTTAACTTTAAACATCAATATTATCAAATTTTTGAAATTTCAATATAAAAAAATACATAGGAATGAAAACTTCTTTCTTAATTTATGTCTCAAGTAAATAAAATA